AAAATAATACCGTAGGGTGCTTGCTTCACTGACTTTTTTTCAGAGGAGTTGCACATCTACAGCCGTGAGGGCTGGACAAGTGAAAAATTGACATCTGAGAGTGCCTACAAACTGTCTCTACATTGTCCTGTTAGACAATGCTTCCGGGTCCCTCAGGGCCAAAATCCTCCCTGAAACATGCTGTCTCCCCTTCAGGGTGTCCTGACAGTGCCTTGCTGACGTGCAGGGGAAACCTCAAAGGTGCCCAGCCCTGACAATGGCTTCCAGAGCAGCTCCTCATGTCATCCAGCTACCCTGAGGGCCTCTGCCTGGAATATGCCACATCAGCCACATCAGCCCACAAGGCTGTGTGGCCTTGTTCTCCTCACTTTCAACATGTCCCACCACTTCTTTTCCCTCTTGCTCACTCTGGCTGTTGCAGGCAGTGCCTGCAAAGTGTGCCACCATCAGCTCCTGGAAAGCTCTGGTGTGTCAGAGGGGACCCAGGACCACCAGCTGAGTGGGGATTGCCAACCCAGTCTATCACACTGACAGAGCTGTAGCCTTATTGCATTGGGACTCACAGCCCAGCTCCATTTATCCAACCATGAGGTGCAACTCACTGGCTGCTGGTCTGGGGCTGTTTGGCAGCCAGACCTCTTCCAACCAGGAGCAGTCATGGTACAGGGAGGGGAGGCAGACCAACTTCTCTCTCGCTCTCTTAGTTGCATACATCCCCTTCCAAAGGCTGGAGTTCAGGGGAGCCCTGTCTCCAATGAAAAGAGCTCATGATGCCTCAAGGACCTCTGGTTGCTTTTGGGAGGCCTATGCTAACATTTGGTGGCCTTGAAGAAGATCATCTGGAAGGGAGGTATCCAGACAGTGTGGCATCTCACTGCCAAAGCTTAGTCCAGGAGGCAGAAGAGCAGCCTCATGAGTTCTTGCTGGTGGAGGATGGGGAGGAAGAACTTCCCTTTGTTCTGAGCTTGCTGAAGTCATTTCACACCTCTGTTTGCTGACCAGCAGTGGTTTACATAGTCCAAGCTGACTCCTGATTGCCCATGGGACTGGGTAATCCAGGCTGGTTGTGTTGCCTGTGAAGCAGCAGGGTTACCCTCAGTTACCTAATGACTGGCAGAGGGCTGAGCTGCCTGAATATGGTCAGTCTGGCATGAGTAAGGGCCAAACCAGCTCCTAAGAAGGGAGATGGAGTGGTGTAGGATTGCTTTTACTTTTTGTTTTGATACTTACTGAATTTAGCGTTTGGTAGGGTCGAAAGCCATGTGTACACTGTTAGAGATGTGATGAAAGGCACTTTAATGAGCATTTGCCAGAGCATTCAAACTCTGTATTTATGGCCTGCAATAGCAGAGGGGAGGATGCTGATTTCTGTTTCCTGCACCTCTGCAGATCCATAAGCTCTCACTGTTTCTCAGGCACCTCTGTGGGCCAGGACAGAACATGGTCTGTGTTTATGCTCCCTCCTTCCCTCTTAGTAATCTTGCCAGGACCACAGCTCAGAGAGGGCTTCAGGGTGCATTTGCTCTAAATGGGCTCTGAGGGTCTCCTTGTGGCCCTGGGGAAGCAGAGGCAACAGGTCTCATCCCTGGTTCACGACAAGCTTATACTCAGTTAAGCAGGGAGACTGGCCTTTGCAGAAGTACCATGAGGAAGGGCTCTGAGCCTGATGAGAGCTGGCTCTGCAGGGTAGAAAAGAGGGTGCTGGCTGGCGCATCATGCAGGGATTATGGGTGAGCAGAGAGCAATGATCAGGACATATATGGACAGCATCTACTGTGGATGCCCTGAGGGATGGAGCGAGGTGCTGTAGGGCTCAGCTGGACTGTGCTGTGCTGTGCTGTGCTGTGCTCTAGCACAGACAGGACCAGCAGGGCTGCTGGCCATTGCTTCATCTGTGAGGGAGGGGGTGGGAAGTCCCACACTGACTACTAGGGGCCCACATGCTCTGGAGGGCTTTTACCCAGCCCTGCAGCGAAGTTTTCCACCACTTCCCAGGGAAATGTATTGCTCTTGGGAGGGACAATGCCTATGCCTGCATCAGCCCTGTCATTATCTCAGGCTCTTCCTCGGCTGGGCACTCTCAGATGCTCTTCCTCCTCTTCAGCCAGCTCCACAGGTGATGAGCATGAGCCCTGGAAAGCTGGGTGTGCCAGACTCCTACCAGTCTTGAACTCAGACTCACCTGTTCCTCTGTGTTCAGTACCAAGAAGGATGTCTGTAACGCTGTTTGCTAGTTGGTCTGCCACCAGAGACACCTATGACAACATCACAGCAGGATGTGATCAGCTAGGCTGAGACTGTATAGGGGACAGGCAGGTTGGATGAGGGCTGTAATTCATGTAATCCCAAGAGGAAGCTGTTGGCTCTACACCACAGTCTCTCCAGCCATGGCAGCCTGTCCACGCACACTGATGTGTGTGTAGGAAGTGTGCTATGCACACTAACATCCATATATTTTGGGAACCCTATCTACCAGCTGGGAAAACTAGGGACTCAATTTCTGCTACACTGACCATGCAGCATCCTGCTTTTGTTGTCCTGAGTACTGCTCAGCTCCTGCTACCATGATGTTGTGTGACTGTCCCCTGATGGCCCAGTGCCCATGGAGAGCTAATGTGCACCATCCATTGGGGACAGCTGTCTGTCAAATATTTGTCTGGGTACCTTAATGCCTGCTAGCATGGCATGAATAATCCTGGCAGCAGTGCAGTGCAGGGGATTTCAGGCAAGCGAGTGTTGCAGTTGGTCTGTGAGTTGTAATGATGCTCACTGTGTCAATGTCAGTGGCGCTTATTTTGGGGTGTCTTAAAATTAGGGATTTCCTTATGGAGTTAGGTTACATGCTGGGGAATTTGAATTTATGCTGGAGATGTATAACCCAGCTTCTGAAGGAGCATTTTATTTCTGCAAATCAAACTAGATATGAGTCTTTCCCAGTCATGTGCACATGAGCAGCCCTAAGGAAACAGAACAAAATGGCTCAGTGTTTTTAATAAGCCAAGCATGAGAACTAACTTTGAGCATCTGTAGGATATCAGAATTCTGGAGCAGGATTCAGGTATTATAACAGGGCTTACTTTTTCATAGTTCCCACCAGACTGGACAGCAGAGCTTTGGATTTTGTAACTAAATTTGGGGTTCCCATCCTCTTCTCTAATCTTTGGATCTCATTGCTCTGATTGCCTGCTGATATCTCAAGTTTTTCTTCTTGAGATAAGGCTACAGGGCTCATGTGAACAGAAGGGAAGCAGAGCTAGGCTCTGGCTGGGAGTCTGTCTTAGCATGGGAGACCCTGTTATATGATGTCGCTAAACTTTTATGCAGCAGACTCTGTCCTGCTCATGAATGCAGACACTAGATGCAACCGAGCAGCAGATCAGGGGTGCAACCAGGTGAGTCTGGTCCACGGGGTCTGGAGATGGACACTAGTGATGTAATTCTGCTGCATAAAGGCAGGCAGTTTGGCTCTTCCCTCTGAAGAAGAGGGGTGGGGAGGATGGTGCCAGCTCATGTGGACACAATGCAATTTCCCAGTCCTCACTCAGGCAATACAGACAACATTCAAGCAGCAGCAGCCTGGTGTGGCTGAGAGAGGCAGGCCGCCCGCCACTGAATGAGCCAACAAGGTGCTTTTCACATGCAAGAGGACAGAAGCCAGCCACTGGTCAGCAACGGGGCTCATTTATTATCTCACAAGAACGAACGACTTGTACAGCTGCAGTAATATCAGCAGAACCAAAGCTTTGCCCAGGGCCTGAGCTCTGACTGCAGGCTCCCTGCTGCGCTGGGCAGCAGTGGGAGGGCTTGTGATGGAGAGGATGGATTTGGGAGATCCCTGAGCTGCAGGGAGTGAATTTGAGACTGTTCCCAGTAGCCTGTGTCCTCCTGATGCCATCATCCCACAAGGGTGATTTCTGTTCCCTCCTACACGAGCTGCCCTTAAAATAGGGGAGGGCAAATGCAGCCCCCAAACGGCTATTCTTCATGGAGGACGTACCCAAGAACCACAGCCTCTTCCAGGAGTGAGGTTTGGGGGCAGTGAGGGAGCCAGACCCCATTTCCAGTGCCAGGAGCCAGGTGGCTGTAGGCAGCAGTGCCCTGGGTGTGCTGCAGCCTGCGAAAAGGTGGAGGGAGCCCAATGTTCACTTGAGTGCCCTGGCCACCTGCTGCTGAGTGACCTCAGGCAAAGCACATACATTTCTCCAGGGACGTGTTTGGATTTGGCTGCCTTAGGGTTCAGAGACCCCTTGTTAGACACCATGGGCCAGATTGAAAGAGAGTCTGAGCTTCCCCAACTCCTGGTATCATCTGAAAGTGGGGGCCCTGCGCAACCTATGAGGCTCCCAGTGGATGAAGCGGAGCCTCCCAAAATGGAGGTGGTCCAAACCTCAGGTGCACACATGGATACACAGCTTTTAACCCACTTCCTCTGCTCTTCCAGTCAATGGCGTGGGGCAGATACAAGCCCATTTCCAGGGGTCTGTGGGACCTGTGGAGGACCCTGGAGGACAAGGCCTGAGGTTCCTATCGGTGGCCACATCATTGCAGTCAGCCATTTCCATGTGTTTCTGCCACAGAGCAATGGCTTTTGCTTGCTAAGATGTCTCTGCCTTGAGAAGACATGCTTGGCTTTGCTGCAGGCTCCTCCTGGCTTGTGATGCTGTAGGATGACGAGGAGGAGGGTCTCCCTGACCCATCTCATGAGCTTGTGGGGCTCTCTCCCAGGCAGTCCCTAGCAGGGGAAACACTTGTGCAGGGGGTTTATCTCCTCCCATGGCCAGTCCTGAGTATCTGGAGCTCAGCCAGAGCCCTTCCAGGCAAGTGGCAGCTGGCAGAGCAGTGCTGGTTGCCCAGGCAGATATGATGGGGGGGTGAGGGTAGATGGGTTGTACTGGTGCTTTACATGGAACAGCCTGCTGTCACCTTGCTGGCCACCTGGCACTGGGGCTGGCCCTCAGTGTGTGGTGTGGGGCTGTTTGGCACGGCTATTCAGAGGAGGTTTATAAGTGAGACGTGTAGGGTGGTGTGGGTGAGGAGGAGAAGAAGGCTATCCGGAGGCTGCTGCCAGCAGGATCTGGACTCTCTGAAGTGATTAGAACCTCACTGTCACTGAGGCAGGGACAATGCTCAGAGAAGCACCTCTCCTTCCCCCTGGTGCCCACCCTTTGCTGGCAGGGGACAAGCGTCATGGAGGGGAAGCTGTAGCTGTCAAGGATGGGGTGCACTCCCAAGGAATCAGGTGTCTCGAATATGTGGTCAATGTCAGAGAAGCTCACCAGAGCCTGGGTGGAGTCATAGGAGCTTTTCTCAATGTCATCAACCCCGCAGGACTGGGGGTAGCTCCCCTTGTCCTGGCCCTTCTGCCTCAGCAGGCGGAGGTCATCTCTGAAGTGGGGGTTGAAGAGCAGGTAGAGCAAGGGGTTCAGGCAGGCAGGCAGGGGCAGGACCACAAGGAGGATGGATTTGATGACCTCTGGGGTGATGAGGAAGAGGTTGAGTGTGGAGGAGAAGGTGAGGAAGGCCACTGGGCAGTAGAGGAGGCAGTTGGTGAAGATCAGCCAGGCCACATGCTTGACCATGGCACAGTCCCAGACAGCACTGAACTCCCCCTTCAGCAGGTTGCAATAGAGTCGGATGTACGTGCCCGTGATAGTCAGGAAGCAGAGCATGTTTGTCATCACCAAGGCCACAGTGAAGCTCAGGGTAGCGGGTTTCCCATCCGGGATGGGATACGGGAGGCAGAGAGGGGATGCTCCGTATTCCCCAATGGAGAAGAGAGGCAGAACGGCAGCCACAGAGGACAGCAACAGGCAGCAAAAGGCAGCAGCCTTGACCTTGCCTAAGGAGGGTGACTTTCCATAGCCCCGCACACAGGAGACTGAAATGCTGCACTGCACGGCAGCCAATGTTAGCAGAAAGATGGCAGCCTCAGAGGCAAACACCGACAGGAACCCTGTCACTGTGCAGCCTGCACCAGTCTCCCATCTGGCACCATATTTGGCAAACTGGCCGTAGGTCAGGGCATCGACGAGAGCCAGCATACTGCAGTAAATGCCGGTCAGCATATTGGCTCCAGCTATGGAGCCGATGATGAACTTAACTGGAGAGAGGTAGCTGGGAGAGGCAAAGACAGCCAGAATGACCAGCCCGTTGCAGAGCATGGAGACCAGAACAATGACCCAGATTCCCAGGCGGATGATCCAGCTCTCAAACAAGTGATCACAAGGCTTGAAGGGACCTGGAAGAAAACAAAACCCAAAGTTAAACCCAGAATATACCGCTCTCCTCTAGTGGTGCTGCTCAGAGCAGCGGCCAGGTCCCAGCCCTCTCCTGATGCCACCAGCCCCTTGC